TATGGTGTGCAAGGCAACAATGGGTCGTAGTAGTAAAACCGGTTTTGTATTTGATGATTTTGTTTTCTAAAGGAATATTAAATTTAATAAATGTGTCAAGATCATTCGTTTCACTATTCTGGATCATTTTCATCCTAATAAATTAACCTGATACATTTACTTTACTTTAAATAAGCTATTTAGTGGTGTTGGTAAAAGGGTGGGAATACTGAATTTTCGTAAGATTTCAAGTTAAAATTTACCTAGCAAAAAATGAAAACTTTTCAACTCTGAAGATATCACATGCTTCTGCACATAGAACTACATCATTAATACCATGGGCCGATTTTTCAAACTCAAAAAACAAAAATTCGCCTCCGTATGACACACTCTACTGTGGTACCCCGCTTGTGACAGGTGCACTTGATGATTTCGTGCCATTAATCACCACACACTGCTTGCGGTCATGGAAAAAGTCACCAATCCATGCTTGGACACTTACCAGAATCCCGCAGCCCTCCAGCTTAATTTTCAGCCTTTCATGGTGTACACTGTCGAAAGCCTTAGCAAAATTTAGGTATATATTGTTGATATTACAACCCTGTTCCAGAATTTGGGTCCATACATCCAGTACCTTGAGTAATTGTGTTAAGCAGGAGCGCCCCGGCATATAACCGTGTTGGCAATCCTTTACAAGGTTGTTTCGTAGTAGATGTTCCATCGCGGCATCTCTTATAATGCTCTCAAGTACTTTACATACTATGCTGGTCAGGCTGACTGGTCTGTAGTTATTCGTGGAGTGATGATCACCCTTCTTGAAGATAGGACTCATATAAGCCATTTTCCAATCACTGGGGACCTTTTGCTCATCCAGGCATTTACAGAACAGGATCTTTGGGGGCTCAACAAGCTTGTTGCACAACTCTCTTAGCACTTTTGGATGCACCACGAACCTTTAGTTTTGACAGTTCGTTTCTTATAGCCTCTTCTGTGAACACAATGTGGGTCAGCGCTGTGTCGAACCATCTGCCCTCAAACGCAGGAAGATTGTTCCTATCCTCTTTTGTGAACACCGATGAAAAGAAACTGTTCAATGCCTCAGCTTTGTCCTGGTCAGAATTTGCGTAACTACCATCTTCAAGCCTCAGGTGTGATACTTTTACTCGCATTTTTAATTTCGAACTTGTATAGCGGTAAAACGCCTTTGGGTTTGACTTGACCTCGCTTGCAACCAGCCTCTGGAACTCCTTTTCAGCCCTTCTACACTCTGTCCTTGCTTGGTTCCTGGATCTTGCATACATCCTCTTGTCCTGTTCATCGTTTGACCTAACCCACGCCTTGAATTTCTGGGTTTTCTTCTTAGCTTTGTCGACCGCATCATGGTTCATGTGCAGAGGTCTCCTTGTATTCCTAGAGACACTGGGTTTGGTCTTGGGTATATATTTCTCGATCAAATGGTTCACTTTACTGGCTATGATTTTCAGCGTAGTGTCTGCCTTCTTATACCTTAGTGAATCAGGCCAGTGGATACCCCTCATCTCCTCTCTCATCCCTTCGTAATTTCCATTGTAATATTTGCTCTTTGGCCTGGTTTTGTCGTGAACCAAGTAACAGTTAAATCTGAAGGATAACATTACTTGGTGGCTGCTGCCCACCATACCCTCCTTGTTTGTTATGATGAAGATCCAGTGGCTTGGGTGTTTGCTCCCCGTTGTAATGCGTCGAGTTCTTAACATGTCGGAACTTAAAATTATCTCTCAGAGTTTCTACAACTAAGAGTAGCAGGGTTATTTAAGTCATTTAGCGTGAACTTATTTCCCCAGTCGATGTCACCAAAGTAAAAGTCCCCATAAAAAAAGGAGGTGGCTAGGGCTGAGCATCGCTGTGTTGTCTATTGGGGCTCTTAAATCTCTTCCCTTTAATTTAATTTTACTCCACTTGGATTCTTCAAAAACATCCCCTCCTGTACCCTCACCTGGCTGGCTCTTAGGTCTTGCCTAACAAATATAACTACACCCCTCTTGCAAGTTTCTTTAGAAAGGTTCGTAAATAAGTCATATCCATCAATACTGAACTCACATTCCTCTGGGTCGATTCTACTGTTCTTGTACAGCATTTCTACAACCCCTACTATATTGGGTTGATGTACCTTTAGTAGTGTTTCAAACTCCTCTCTCTTTTTTATATAATTTGCACCACTTATCAGCTTACTAGTCATGACAGTATAAGTGTACATAACATTCAAGTCGGAATTTGTTCTCGGTAACGTCTCTGCTCTTGGTAGTGACTCCGGCCCCCCTCCATTCTCAGCAACTGCAGGATTTGCTAAATATACTGTATTTTTGTGGGTGGGGGTGTTCCTCTGCCCCCTGGCTCTGTGCTTCTAACTCAGCTTCCGGTAATTCTCCTAAATTGATGTTAAGCTGATTGGACGGTAGTTAAAGGGTAATGATCTATATCCCTTACTTAAATTCACGTATTGCAAATAAATGCACATACTTTTAATTATAATACAGTAACTGAAGAGAGCTTAACTATTCACCTGGCATATTTGCTCACTTTTTTACGTGATTGTAATTAATTTCAGTAATATAATTTTTAGATCATATGAAATGATCACCAAAGTCATATATTGATGCTTGAGGAGGTTGGATGTAGTCTTGCCTGTTCCAGATATGAAGAATGTATAATACCGTACTTGGCTTTATAACCACTGTCAGAACACACTATTGCTTGTGACATAATGCAACGCCATCTTGTCACTCTGACAGTCACAGTGTTACAGTATAGAAATCGGTGTATTGTACAGACCAACTGAGCAGTTATAATACTATATCTTTAAAAATTGCAAAGTATAATTTTCGTATAATATTTATATAAATTTAGAAGAGCGTAAATATATTGACAGATTTTTGTTACATAATGTGCTTGACCCAGTCTTTCTGCTGAGTGAGAATGATTTACGAGTGCCATGGGACATACTAATCCTGCAGTTGTCATTGGGCCAAACACCACCAGGCACCTCCCACTCTTTACATTGTCGACTAATAATATAACTTAAACAACAGGGGGTCAGGTCAAGGCCACCTAGAAGAGAAGGCCTGGGCTTGGGTTTGATGACGTCACTAGGGGAGGCGGCGACTGCGCTTGCTCGCTCGCTCTTTCCGAGTCATATTTCCGTAAACTATGGTTTATGGCTGTAACATTCTTTATATACTGTTGAAGGAATTGTATTGGCTAAATATAGAACAGTGGTGTACTTTCTGATTCATTATTATACTTACAATCAACACTGAATTAGCTATAAAGAAAACATCAATGTATTCTATAAATAATTCTTATTCACATTCTTAACACCATTATAATTACCAAAACTGTTTATGCCTAGTACAGCCAATCAAGTTATTTCTGCTACAAATTTATTTTGTAATGTAATGTTTATAATATTATTTTCATAATTTGATTTTGCAATTGAGGTAATGCAAATCAAATACATAAATCAACGGGTCCGACTAATTACCCAAATGTACCCAAATGTAGCCGCAATGAAGTCAAATAATGGCTCTACATGAATAAATCGGGCTGCTAATCTCGACTAGTATTTGGTGTCACGAAGTCACAAAAAATTGGTAACATTTAATCTGAGTTAATAGATCGAGTGCATGTACCTAACCTAACCTAACCTAACACAACACAAATCAGATTAAATTAAGTTTACCAATTTTTTGTGACTTTATGACACCAAATAATAAAAGAGAAGTGATTCACAGTCCGATTTACGCTTGTAGGACTTCATTTGACTTCATTGCGGCTACATTTGGGTACATTTGGGGAATTACTCGCTCCCTCGGCACAAACATGCGATCTATTAACTCGGTTTAAATTAAGTTTTCCAATTTTTTTGTGACTTCGTGACACCAAATACTAGTCGAGAAGTGATTAGCAGTCCGATTTATTAATGTTGGACCATTATTTGACTTCATTGCGGCTACATTTTGCTACATTTGGGTACATTTGGGTAATTAGTCGGACCGTGAATCAACCTCTAGTCTCATTTGCACAATCAAATAGACTGCATGTAAGGGCAACATCTTTCCTAACTGTACACACCTACCTACGTACATGAGCTTCGGGGAAAATGATGGCTGCAGTGACAACATATCTTAGACAGAAACAGTAATATACTATAAATAACATCGGTTATGATTTGATTATGATTACATAATCATTGCCATCATTTGATTAATAATCATAATCAACCCAAAGTCTGGTGCATATATGGTATAAATAACATGTGTTCCTACTCAATGAAAACAATTACTAGTCCTTACGTAAACCCGCGTAATTTGTTTGAAACCATTTATATACGTTTGAATTTTATATATTTGTATAAATCTATCCAATACATCACTGTTTGTGGGCTGCCGAAAGTTAACAATGGCAGAACAACCAAAAACATGTGCTGAATTATATTCATCATTTAACTACTCCAAATTAATGAATTCAGATCTATGATTATCTCTACCCTTACTACACAAGAAGATTAATATGTCCAAGTCTTACCTTTGATGAAATCCAGTCCATAAAAAGAGAAATGAGAATAAAAGCAGACCGAAAAGTTCCTCCACTCTCTCACAACGTGTTTAGGCGACTGTCGCTGTCGGCTTTCAGTTATGACGTCATCATCAGATTTGCGAGGAGACCCAGGCCTTCTCATTTAGGTGGCCTTGGTCAGGTCAAGGTCGGAACGTCCTTTGAGGTGCAACTCGGTGTCCCGTGGCAAGATGAGGTCCCGCCTTACTCACCTTTGCATTCCACAATGTAAATTTGATGTGTGGCAGTCATGGAAGGCAATAATGAGTAGGATTCATTTTGCCTTGAAATAGATTCCAATAATTACCATTCCTGATTACGATTACAATATGTCTGGTCATAACCACATCGGTTACAGTAGAGAACTACTTGATGGTGGGTAAGTGAGTAAACACAAGACATTAACTTATGCTATCATTACCCCGCAGGACGTCGGTGTTGTTCGTGTCTGTCTCCTTCATAATCTTGATGGTGATCTCTCTGGCGTGGCTTCTCTTCTACTACATCCAGAGGTTTAGATACATTCACGCCAAGGACCGTCTGGCCGTAAGTATATCATCATCATCATCATCATCATCATCATCATCATCATCATCTATATTGTGGCTGGTGTTTCCGTTCTTGGGGTCGCCTGATAATGAGTACCCATTTAGATCAGCAATATTCTTGTGTGTGTGTGTGTGTGTGTGAGAGAGAGGACGTCAGTTAACACAGTTGAAGGGAGCTCTGAGCAGTTTGAACGCCATATCGTTGAATATTACCAGGTATACGTAAAGCCTTTCAAGAATCCGGCTGCCTGAAGAAAACTCGTTTATTCACGAAAAAAGACGAGTCCCACGGGTTTAATATAGAAGGGAAGGTCGAAGGGAGCAGAGAGGGGTGGAGGGTGCAGGGAAGGGTGAAGGAGGAGGAAGGAAGAAGGAAGGAGGAAGGGAGCAGGGAAGGTGAAGGAGGAGGGAAGGAGGAGGAAGAGTGAAGGGAGGAGGAGTGAAGGGAGGAGGAAGGGAGAACAGGGAGGAAGGGGTAAATCCTGAACAAATCTTGGATATTGGAACTATCGGTGAATATTTCATTATCTTCGACCTAAGTGAATCGATCATTATGCTGTGTACAGTGTGGCCTCTCTCTCTCTCTCTGTAGTTTCCATATGTTGTGTAAGGGTTAAAGTGTTGTGTAAGAGTTATAGTGTTGTGTAAGGGTTAAAGTGTTGTGTAAGGGTTAAAGTGTTGTGTGGACGCTTATAGTGTTGTGTGAGGGTTATAGAGTTTAGTAAGAGTTATAGTGTTGTGTAAGGGTTATAGTGTTGTGTAAGAGTTATAGTGTTGTGTAAGGGTTATAGTGTTGTGTAAGGTTATAGTGTTGTGTAAGGGTTAAAGTGTTGTGTAAGAAGTATGTGATGCTTATAGTGTTGTGTAGTTAGAGTTAAGTAAGATATAGTGTTGTAAGCGGTGTTGTGTAAGAGCTATAGTGTTGTGTATGGTAAGTAAGGGTTAAAGTGTTGTGACACAGTAGTGTAAGTGTGAGGTTAGAGTTAGTAAGAGTTATAGTGTTATAGTAAGGGATTTACAGTGTTGTGTTAGGGTTATAGTGTTGTGTGGATTGGTTATATGGTGTAAGGGTTATAGAGTTTGAAAGAGAGTTATAGTGTTCTGTAAGGGTTATAGTAAGTGTAAGAGTTATAGTCGAAAGAGTTGTATGTTGTGTAAGGGTTAAAGTGTTGTGGAATAGTTATAGTGTTGTGTGAGGGTTATAGAGTTTAGTAAGAGTTATTGTGTTGTGTATGGTTATAGTGTTGTAAGGTTAGTGTTGTGTATGTGTATAGTGTTGTGTGGATGGTTATAGTGTTGTGTGAGGGTTATAGAGTTGTGTAGATTATAGTGTTGTGTAAGAGTTATAGTAAGAGATTTGTGTAAGGGTTATAGTGCTATAGGAGGTTTAGTGTTGTGTGAGGGTTATATGTTGTGTAAGATATAGTGTTGTGTAAGAGCAGTAAGAGTTATGTTGTGTAAGAGTTATAGTGTAAGGTGTGAGAGTGTGATTATAGTGTTGTGTGAGGGTTATAGTGTTGTGTGAGAGGTTATAGTGTTGTGTGGATGGTTATAGTGTTGTGTGAGAGGTTATAGTGTTGTGTGGAGGTTATAGTGTTGTAAGGGAAGAGAAGAGCTAGTAAGAGTATAGTGTAAAGGGTTATAGTGTTGTGTAGGTGTATAGTGTTGTGGACTATTATAGTGTTATGTGAGGGTTATAGAGTTGTGTAAGATTATAGTGTTGTGTGAGGTTATAGTGTTGTGTAAGGGTTATAGTGTTGTGTAAGGGTTAGTGTTGTGTAAGGGTTATAGTGTTGTGTATGGTAGTGTTGTGTGGGTTATAGTGTTGTGTGAGGGTTAGTGTTGTGTGTGGGTTAGTGTTGTATGGTTATAGCTGTGAGGGTTATAGTGTTGTGTGAGGGTTATAGTGTTAAAGGGTTATGTATATATAGCGTGTAAGGGTTATAGTGTTGTGTATGGTTATAGCTTGTGTAAGTTATAGTATTGTGTGTTATAGTAAGGTATGTTATGTGAAGGGTTATAGTGTTGTGTGTAAGGTGTATAGTGTTGTGTGGACGGTTATAGCGTTATGTGAGGGTTATAGAGTTGTGTAAGAGTTATAGTATTGTGTATGGTTATAGTGTTGTATGTTATAGTGTGTAAGGGTTATAGTGTTGTGTATGGTTATAGTGTTGTGTGAGGGTTATAGTGTTGAAGGGCAGTGTGAGGGTTATAGTGTTGTGTGAGGGTTATAGAGTTGTGTAAGAGTTATAGGTTTGTGAGGGTTATAGTGTTGTGAGGGTTGCAGAGTTGTGTGAGAGTTATAGTGTTGTGTAAGGGTTATAGTGTTGTGTGAGGGTTATAGTGTTGTGTGAGGGTTATAGTAAGCGGAGTATATAGTGTTGTGTGAGGCTTATAGTGTTGTGTAAGGTGTATAGTTTTGTGTAAGGGTTCCATAATATTGTGTAAGGGCTACAGTATTGCGTGTAGGATACCATAATGTAGTGTAAGGTTGCCATAATGTTGTGCAAGGTTGCCATAATTTTGTGTAAGGTTGCCATAATGTTGTGTAAGGCTGCCATAAAGTTGTGTAAAGTTACCATAATGTTGTGTAAGGTTGTCATATTGTTGTGTAAGGTTGCCATAATGTTGTGTAAGGCTGCCATAATGCTGTGTAAGGTTGTCAAATGTTGTGGAGGTTGCCATAATGTTGTGTAAGGTTGCCATAATGTTGTGTAAGGTTGCCATAATGTTGTGTATCCATAATGTTGTGTATCCATATTGTTGTGTGGTTGCCATAAAGTTGTGTATCCATAATTTTGGTAAGGGTTGCCATAATATTGTGTATTGCCATAATATTGTGTAAGGGTGCCAATATTGTAAGGGTTGCCATAATGTTGTGTAAGGGTTGCCATAATATTGTGTAAGGGTTGCCATAATATTGTGTAAGGGTTGCCATAATGTTGTGTAAGGGTGCCATAATGTTGTGTAAGGTTGTCATATTGTTGTGTAAGGGTTGCCATATTGTGTAAGGTTTCCATAATGTTGTTTAAGGTTGCCATATTGTGTAAGGGTTGCCATATTGTGTAATGGTTGCCATAATATTGTGTAAGGGTGCCATAATATTGTGTAAGGTTGCCATAATGTTGTGTAAGGGTTGCCATAATATTGTGTAAGGGTTGCCATAATGTTGTGTAAGGGTGCAATAATGTTGTGTAAGGTTGTCATATTGTTCTGTAAGGGTTGCCATAATGTTTGTAAGGGTTGCCATAATGTTGTGTAAGGTTGTCATGTTGTTGTGTAAGGTTGCCATAATATTGTGTAAGGGGGTTGCCATAATGTGTTGTAAGGTTGCCATAATGTTGTGTAAGGTTGTCAAATGTTGTGTAAGGTTGCCATAATGGTTTTAAGGTTGCCATATTTTTGTGTAAGGTCAAATGTTGTGTAAGGTTGTCATAATGTTGTGCAAGGTTGCCATAATATTGTGTAAGGGTTGCCATAATGTGTTGTAGGTTGCCATAATGTTGTGTAAGGTTGCCCATAATATTGTGTAAAGAGAGGTTGCCATAATGTTTAAAGGTTGCCATATTGTGTAAGGTTTGTCAAATGTTGAGTAAAGGTTGCCATCATGTGTAAGGGTTGCCATAATGTTGTTGTGTAAGAGGGTTGCCATATTGTTGTGTAAGGTTGCCATAAAGTTGTGTAAGGGTTGCCATAATTTTGTGTAAGGGTTCAATAATGTGTGTGTAAGGGTTGCCATAATATTGTGTAAGTGCCATAATGTTGTGTAAGGGTTGCCATAATGTTGTGTAAGGGTTGCCATAATATTGTGTAAGGGTTGCCATAATATTGTGTAAGGGTTGCCATAATGTTGTGTAAGGGTGCCATAATGTTGTGTAAGGTTGTCATATTGTTGTGTAAGGGTTGCCATATTGTGTAAGGTTTCCATAATGTTGTTTAAGGTTGCCATATTGTGTAAGGGTTGCCATATTGTGTAATGGTTGCCATAATATTGTGTAAGGGTGCCATAATATTGTGTAAGGTTGCCATAATGTTGTGTAAGGGTTGCCATAATATTGTGTAAGGGTTGCCATAATGTTGTGTAAGGGTGCAATAATGTTGTGTAAGGTTGTCATATTGTTCTGTAAGGGTTGCCATAATGTTTGTAAGGGTTGCCATAATGTTGTGTAAGGTTGTCATGTTGTTGTGTAAGGTTGCCATAATATTGTGTAAGGGGGTTGCCATAATGTGTTGTAAGGTTGCCATAATGTTGTGTAAGGTTGTCAAATGTTGTGTAAGGTTGCCATAATGGTTTTAAGGTTGCCATATTTTTGTGTAAGGTCAAATGTTGTGTAAGGTTGTCATAATGTTGTGCAAGGTTGCCATAATATTGTGTAAGGGTTGCCATAATGTATTTGTAAGGTTGCAATAATGTTGTGTAAAGTTGCCATAATATTGTGTAAGGGGTTGCCATAATGTTTTAAAGGTTGCCATATTGTTGTGTGATTTGTATGGAATGTTGTATGGGTTGCCATAATGTTGTGTAAGTTTCCCATAATGTTGTACCTTAAGGTTGGCATAATGTTGGCACAAGGTTGCCATAATGTTGTATGGAGTTGCCATATTATTTGTGTAAGGGTTGCCATAATGCTGTGTAAGGGTTGCCATATTATTGTTGTGTAAGAGTTCCCATAATGTTGTGTAAAGGTTGGCATAATGTTGTATAAGGTTGCCATAATGTTGTGTAAGGTTGCCATATTGTTGTGTAAGGGTTGCCATAATGCTGTGTAAGGGTTGCCATATTGTTGTGTAAGGTTGCCATAAAGTTGTGTAAGGGTTGCCATAATTTTGTGTAAGGGTTGCCATAATATTGTGTAAGGGATGCCATAATATTGTGTAAAGAGATTGCCATAATGTTGTGTAAGGTTGCCCATATAATTTGTGTAAGGTTGTCATATTGTTGTGTAAGGGTTGCCATATTGTGTAAGGTTGTTATATTGTTGTGTAAGGGTTGCCAAAATGTTGTGTAAGGTTGTCATATTGTTGTGTGAGGGTTGCCATATTGTGTAAGGTTGCCATATTGTTGTGTAAGGGTTGCCATATTGTGTAAGGTTGTCATATTGTTGTGTAAGGGTTGCCATATTGTGTAAGGTTGCCATAATGTTGTGTAAGGTTGCCGTATTGTGTAAGGTTGTCAGTGTTGTGTAAGGGTTGCCATATTGTGTAAGGTTTCCATAATGTTGTTTAAGGTTGCCATATTGTGTAAGGGTTGCCATATAAAAGCCATAGAACATCACACTAATCTTGACGATGTTGTTTCAGCGACACCTATGTAACGCCGCCAAGAAGGCTCTAGCCAAGATCCCTGTCAAGAACCTCAAGTCTGGTGACAAGGTAGAGTTACTCTGTACATTACTTTGTTACCAATATTCGGTAGATAGTTAACAAGGGCCAATAGATAGTTAACAAGTCTCAATAGATAGTTAACAAGGGCCAATAGATAGTTAACAAGTCTCAATAGATAGTTAACAAGGCCCAATAGATAGTTAACAAGGTTAACAAGGCCCAATAGATAGTTAACAAGACCCAGTAGATAGTTAACAAGGGTCAATAGATAGTTAACAAGGGCCAATAGATAGTTAACAAGCCTCAATAGATAGTTAACAAGGCCCAATAGATAGTTAACAAGTCTGAATAGATAGTTAACAAGGACCAATAGATTGTTAACAAGGGCCATTAGATAGTTAACAAGGCCCAATAGATAGTTAACAAGATACAATATACCTTGTTATGAGCACCCAATAGATACTGTAGTTAACAAGGCCCAATGAGATAGTTAGCAAGTTACACAAGTTCAAATAATATATATAACAAGTGCCAATATGCAGGTACCTTGTTATGAACACCCAATTGATAGTTAACAAGCTAAATTTTACCTTGTTAACAATTCCAAATATATAGATAACAAGTTTCAATAGATATTAATAAATTTCACTCGGTAAATAACTAGTTCCAATACATTTTGTTAACAAGTTCCAATAGATACCATAGTTAACAAGTTACAATATATATATATATATATATATATATATATATATATATATATATATATATATATATATATATATATATATATATATATATATATATATATAGTTTACAACTTTTGTTAGATAGTTAACATGGATCAGTGGACAGTTAGGTAAGGTTACTGTAGGTTAAGTTAGCTTAAGATAATTTTCTTTAAGTTAAGGGTTAGTTTAAGTCAGTAAGGTTAAGTAAGCTATAGTTTAATTTGGTTAGGTTGAGTTGAATTATATAAAGTTGGATAAGTAGAAATTTAGTAATGCTAGGTTAAGTTAGGTTAGGTTAAGTTAGGTTACATTAGGTTAGGATCAGGATATACTGTAAAGTCTTTATTGAACCTGAATGTTGGTCCACAGGAGGTGGCGACAGAGAGCGAGTGTTGTGCTGTGTGTATTGAACCTTACCAAGTGTCAGACATAGTGAGGACCTTACCCTGCCAGTGAGTATATGTACTGTATGTGTGTGTGTGTGTAGTATACTGGGTAACTGCTTCTTGTTCAATCATCACTAACATTAAAACTTTCTGAAACACACCTTAATATACTATTGTACATGTATTTTCTCTTCATCATTTTCATTAATTCATTCTTAAGACAGTTCCAAGTGTTTCTTCCGCAAAAAGAATCCAAATACCAATCTGATTACCTTTCCAGCGTCATTTCACAGTGACAAACGTTACCTACCAGTGGCAACTTCTTATTTGTTTTAATTAACTGGATGCTATAGTTTGTGGTAATTTACATACTGTACACTGCTTCTTCCTGGGTGTTTATCACTCTGACACTTAGTGCATCCTTTCACTTCATCCTTCCTCACCTATTGGTCTTCCCTTCTCTGTATAGTATCATCAACCTCTGTATCATTCATTATATTTGGCAATCTTTTATGTTTAGTTCTCTCAGAAAGTCTATACCATGTAAGCAGACTACTTTTGTCACTTGCATCTCTTCCTTACTTCTGTTTTTCTTTGGATCCTATTTTTCCCACACACACACCTACACACTGTTCAATATTATGTAATTTTTGTTAATTATAATAGGCTTTTTCCTCTTGTATCGAGAGTCTCTGCTGAACACCACATCAAAGTGTCAGCTCTACAGTTCTCCTTTACATCTACTCCTTTGCCCCATGGCTCATTGTTCCACTTACTGATACACTTACTCTCAGATATCTAAAACGCTTCACTTCCTCAATTCTTTCTTCATACAAACTAACATTAATTTCTCCTTGTCTTGCTTATATACTTTTTTCATCAATTTACCTTTGTTCACACTCATCAACTTTCTCATAGTATACACTCTTCCAAAATTACTCATTAAATTAACATTTGCGACTTCCTCTGAATTCACCACTAGACGAGTATCATCTGTAAACAGCAGCCGACTCACTTCTTGTTTACAGCTGTATCATTATTCACCAAAGTTTCACCTCTCTTAGTCTTCAGGACTCTTGTTCCACCCCGAAATATATTATTATACAACCATGGTAACATTACACATCCATGAGTTTCACTGGGAACTAGTTTTCCTCTTCCCAGTAGTTTGTCATTCACATCAAACATTTTCAGTGTTACCTTCTGTACAATATAATGGACGAGTTGTCGGTCGGAATTTTTTCATAAGATGGCAGGTCAATGGGTAAAGAAAACATTTCAATTCACTATAGAAATTCTATTTTTCAATAAATTAGGCCAAAACGTGTAACAAATAAGAGTTAAAGTAGCTAAAAAGTCACATGACTGCAAAAACCTCTGTGATTTGTTGTGAGGTTGTGGGGTACGAGATGTTTGTGTTCACACTCAGAATGGGATGGAGAAAGGAAACTCACAATGTGCTCTCTGTATACATGTTGTATTGGATGTACAATGCAGCTTGGTGCTGGGAAGTGGCAGCGTGGTTACAAGCGTGATGTAGAGAGAGCTAGTTGGTGAGGGTGCTCAGAGGACAGCTTGTGGGTCGCCATGCTCGCCGGCGGGAGCGAGGGCCGCCAGGCAGCGGCGGAGGAGGTGGTGTTGCTTGCTGCGGCTGTAGCTAGAAGAAGAGAGAGGTCACCACGAGGTCAGGTCTTAAATAGCGGAGGTAGGCCTTGGCTTAGTAGTTGACCTCCGTCATGTAAGGCGGCGCTGGTTGACCTAGACCACGAGGCATACACTGAGAAATTCGTGGGGTCGGCTACTCAGCGACAAACAGCGTTTGTAGGGGAGAAATCCACTACAAGGTCACCGACTAAAGCGAGCAGCCGAGTAGGAGCCTGGAGGCAGCCAGCTGTGCTTTTTTTTGCAGGGGATTAGCCCACCGAGCATAGGTCACTAACCCACATCAGGGCCTGGGAGGTTAAAATATTATATTAATAATAATAATAATAATAATAATAATAATAATAATAATAATAATAATACAGTAATAATTATTATTATTATTATTATATTTAATAATAATTAATAAAAATAGATACAAATTATAACCAAAAATACATACAGTATATTAATAGTAATAACCATAAATAAATACACAAACGAAAGTATATATATATATATATATATATATATATATATATATATACTTCATTTTTAGTCCATATAACACGAGACTTTGAACATATAATCAACGACCTCACCAGCAAGAATCGACCCTCGACCTACTGGGTGTGACTAGGGAAGCTTACGGCTAGGCCACAAGGACACTAAAAGCAGTTCTAGACTCTGTTATATTTCACACAAAGCCTGTTCATCGAGCTGATGGCGCCGTGAACCTCATTGGGAAACTGCCCATGCCTCTTATGTGGTGTCAGTAGCATTTACGAATCCAGCTGGTATGAAACACGAGGTACATATATATACTTCATTTTTAGTCCATATAACAGCGGACTTTGAACATATAATCACGACCTCACCAGCAAGGAATCGAACCCTCGACCTACTGGGTGTGACTAGGGAACGCTTACCGGCTAGGCCACAAGGACACTAAAAGCAGTACTAGACTCTGTTATATTTCACACAAAGCCTGTTCATCGAGCTGATGGCGCCGTGAACCTCTGGGAAACTGCCCGTGCCTCTTATGTGGTGTCAGTAGCATTTACCGAATCCAGCTGGTATGAAGCGAGGTACTGACACCACGCAGAGGCATGACCAATGATTCACCGCCATGCTGTGTGACAAGTCTAGTACTGCGTCACCGTACCAATAGGTCGAGTTCATTCCTGCTATTGATAAATTATATATATATATATATTGTGTTGTCAATAGAAAGAGAAACAATTGAGACCCTGCAATTGTGTGTAAATGAGGCAGAAAGTCAGATCAGCAACCTGGGACTTGGACAAAATTTTTGTGGTGCCATATTGTTGTTACCAGCAGAAATACAGGACTTGTGGCCATATACAGTGTTGATATACACAGGCATACCTTATTTTTAGGTTAAAATAAATTACTGCTCAAGTATCATCGTGTGTATTTACTTGCTGGCTGCCAAAATGATGCAATAGACCGATAACTCCAACATGGAAGTTTTCATCACTGTTCTCTATTTCATGTCTGGAAAATGTAAGTTTTCGTCACTAATATCTATATTTAATGTTGTGGAAGGTCTAGGGATGACCATGGCCAGGGAATGGGCTTGATATGATCAAATGACAGATGTAATTTAACGTTATTCATAGGTGGATGGCGGAGTTTCTGATAATACTCTACTATCATAAAGACATCTACTTTTGGTAAATTTCTTTCATCTGCCTTGATGAACCCTGGAAGTAGTTGACCAACCTTCTCGGCTGATCGGCTCTGTGAATAAATATTATTAGATAATTAATTGTGCTTTACTGTGCAACACAGTAATGCTATATTGAATATATTAATATTATTAAGCACATTAACTAATTCAATGGATATTTGCTGCCACTACTACAAATTTTATAGTATAAACATTCCAAACAGTATTGGTATTATTTTGGTTTTGATCATCTGGGGAACCTTGAAAAGACTTTAACTAAGGAATTAAGTACTTTAAACAATAAGACACATTTTTCTATTGCATAAGAAAATACAGGTGATATGTTAGGTTAAGTTAGGGAATAATAAGTTATATTTTAAGTTATAAGGTTAGCTTAACAAACACCGGTAAGGGGGGGGAAGTAGTAGTAACTAGTGATTTCCGATAGAATTGAAGGTTTAAATCGTTCATAACACATCGCAAACCATCATGAAAACATACTCTGCATGTCTAGGTCCAGGGATGACAAAAACTTAAAATTTACCCAAAATTTTGCACATTAATATAAATGATGATATATCACAATGGTTCATTAGTGAATCATCAAAACGATAACAGCACTATGTTGTCATGTTTACCTAGCATCAGGCATTCTCAAAACAAAGTCCAGACAATGTCATTACTTCTAAATTGACTCTTATCGACTGCAGGGATGGTGGGGGACGTCATTGTAAATGGCTGTCCTGTTTATAGAGAAATAAACTTATCACTACTATTATGTATACCCTGTGCCGGATTAACCATGAGGCACTTGAGGCACTGGCCTCAGGCCCCCCGACTCTAAGGGGCCCCAAATCCAAACATTCTCGAAGTTGAAGCATATAAAACATGAACTTCGTTCAACGATGTCCTAGCAACGTCTCAATTTTCTGTCTCTTATGAACATTGAATGTGTTATTTTGCTGAAGCTTAATATTGATGAAATCATTGATAAATTTTGGTAGTATTTTGTTCTTGCTATATATATATATATATATATACCTTGAGGGTAGGGGGCCCCAAGTTGATCTGTACCTCAGGTCCCTATTAAGCTTAATCCGGCCCTGTATATACCGTATCACTCTACGAAGGTGGCAGAGTGTACTTCTTGTGTTTACCTAGAACCGACTGCTCGTCGATTTAATTATGTACTCTATTATATGCTTCACTTAGGTCAATAAAAAACCATATATAAATTCAGGAATATATAGTAAACAGGGTATTATATTCTATGATAATAATACAAATTCCCACTTTCTCATAGGCATGAGTTCCACAAGAACTGCGTCGACCCCTGGCTGTTGGAGCACCGCACATGTCCCATGTGTAAAATGGACATTCTGAGGTTTTATGGATATGTGGTAAGTCAGCAGCACATGGTTGTTGTGTCTCTCTGGTGATTAATATTTGTAAATGCCCAGAACTAATATTAATGAATATCAATCTTGGAAATATATAAACTGACTTTCCTCTCAGATTCAAGATGTACACTGTCTTGTTCTTTATAAAACAAAAATTATATAAAAGATACAGTCAGAGATAAAGTGTTATAAACGAGCCTCTACTGATAACACTTTGTTCACTTCCTGTTACTGACTGTCCCTGTTACTGACCGTTGTCTCTGTCACTCCCTGTTACTGACCGTTGTCTCTGTCACTCTCTGTTACTGACCCTTGTCTCTGTCACTCCCTGTTACTGACTGTTGTATCTGTAAATCCCTGTTACTCACCATTGTCTGTCACTCCCTGTTACTGACCCTTGTCTCTGTCACTCCCTGTTACTGACTGTTGTATCTGTAAATCCCTGTTACTCACCATTGTCTGTCACTCCCTGTTACTTTTTTTTTCTTAACTTTTATCCTCTTCGCCACTGATCGGCTTGTTAGCCGCTTGGGCGATCGGTCACGACTCTTTTCCTTTATATTCTTCACCAAAAGGTCGGCTCGCTAGCCGCCCGGGCGATCGGTCACGTCTCTGTCACGCACTGTTGGCAAATACTGGGCATGCACCGGCTCCTGAATGTACCTGAACCCGCTCCAGTGTTGGTCAAGTCTTCTCTTGAAAGAGCTCACACTCGGTGCCGTCACAACACTTTCTGGTAGATTGTTCCAAGAGTTTACAACCCTCACTCCGAAAAAGTTTGCCCTCACGGTTTTCCGGACTTGCGGCTTCTTCAATCTTGAGCTGTGACCCCTTGTGGGGCGAGCGTCCGCCAGCTCCAAGTAAGGACACTCAACTGAGTAGTGCCCCCTGAGATGCTTATAAACCTCAACTAGGTCCCCCCTTGCCCGTCTGTAGTATAAGCTAGGCAAGTTCAGGCGCTCCAATCTCGCAGGGTAGCTGAGATGCCGAAGTGCAGGCACCAGCTTGGTGGCCCTCCTTTGAACATTTTCAACCAACTGACAGTCCCTAGCATATCTCGGGGACCAGATGGGGTGACAGTACTCCAGATGGGGAAGCACTTCACTCCTGAAGATCGTCACGAGGGACGGACCGTCTAGATATCTGAACGACCTTCTTATAAGACCCAATAATTTATTTGCCTGATTTACCTTCTTCTCACAATGGCCCGAGAACTTCAGCTCATTGTCAACATACACACCTAGGTCCTTCTCACACACAGTCTCAACTAGTACATTTTCTTCATCCCGTTGGGACATATGGTACGCCTCCTTACCGTTGGTACGCCCCAGGTGCATCCTCTTACACTTCGTGACATTGAATCTCAGCAGCCATTCCTTCGACCATTCCTGGAGCCCACAGAGGTCCTTCTGCAGCTCTTCACAGTCCGCTTGGTTCTTAATTTCCCGAAATAACTTGGCGTCATCGGCAAACATTTGTATGGAGGAGTGTACAACGTCAGGCATATCATTTATGAAACAAACAAACAACAGCGGGCCCAATACACTACCCTGCGGTACCCCACTTGTTACAGGTACAGATGACGATTTCGTGCCATTAATCACCACACATTGCTTGCGGTCATGTAGAAAGTCTTCTATCCACGCTAGGACATTTCCCCGAATTCCGTACCCTTCCAGTTTGATTTTCAGCCTTTCGTGGGGTACACTGTCGAAAGCCTTGGCAAAATCTAGGTAAATATTGTCGATATTACCACCCCGTTCTAGAATATGGGTCCAAATATCCAATACCTTGAGCAATTGTGTCAAGCAAGAGCGCCCCGGCATAAAACCGTGTTGGCAATCTTTTACAAGGTTGTTTCGTAGTAGATGTTCCATCGCTGCATCTCTGATAATACTCTCAAGTACTTTACATATTATGCTGGTCAGGCTCACCGGTCTATAGTTGTTCGTGGAGTGCCTATCGCCCTTCTTGAAGATAGGACTCACATAAGCCACTTTCCATTCACTGGGGACCATTTGTTCATCCAGGCATTTACAAAACAGAATCTTCAGGGGCTCTGCAAGCTCGTTGCACAGCTCCCTTAGCACTCTAGGATGCACCATGTCAGGTCCAGGACTCTTATGGACCTTTAGCCTGGACAGTTTATTTCTAATACCCTCTTCTGTGAACACAATGTGGGTCAGTGCTGTGTCGAACCGTCTGTCCTCAAACGCAGGAAGGTTAGTTGCATCCTCTCTTGTGAACACTGAGGAAAAGAAGCTGTTCAATGCCTCAGCTTTATCCTGGTCAGAATCTGCGTAACTACCATCTTCAAGCCTCAGGTCTGATACTCCTACTCGCGTTTTCAATTTCGACTTTGCATAGCGGTAAAACGCCTTTGGGTTTGACTTGACCTCGCGTGCAACCAGCCTTTGGAACTCCTTTTCAGCCCTCCTACACTCTATCTTTGCTTGGTTTCTGGCTCTTGCATACATCCTCCTGTCTTGCTCATCGTTTGACCCAACCCACGTCTTGAATTTCTGGGTTTTCTTCTTAATTTTGTCGACCGCCGCATGGTTCATGTGTAGGGATCCCCTCGTATTCCTAGAAGCACTGGGTTTGGTCTTGGGTATATATTTATCGATCAAATGGGTCATTTTACTAGTTATGATATTCAGCGTAGTGTCTGCGTTCTTGTACCTTAATAAGTCAGGCCAGTTGATACCCCTCATCTCTTCCCTCATCCCATTGTAATTTCCCTTGTAATATTTGCACCTTGGCCTGGCCTTATCTTGAACTAGGTAACAGTTAAATCTGAATGACAACACTGTATGGTGACTGGTGCCAACTGGGGCAAGGTGTTCCAGTTTGGCCACCATACCCTCCTCGTTTGTTATGATGAGGTCAAGTGGCTTGGGTGTTTGTTCCCCTCTGTAATGTGTCGGGTCTCTCACATGTTGGAACAGAAAATTATCTCTCAGAGTTTCTACAAAAAGAGTAGCAGGATTATTCAAGTCATTCGGGGTTGACTCGTTTCTCCAGTCGATGTCGCCATAGTTAAAGTCCCCCATGATAAGGAGGTGGCTGGGGTTGAGCATCGCCGCATTGTTTATTAAGGTTCTTAAGTTCCTTTGATTTAGTGGGCCACAGTTCGGGGATCTGTAGATACACCCGACGATAAGTAAGTCCCCTCCCTTTAATTTAATTTTACACCACTTGGACTCTTCAAAGACATCCTCTCCCTGTACCCTCGCCTGGCTGGCTCTAAGGTCTTGCCTAGCGTAGATAACCACACCCCTCCTGCAGGATTCTTGAGTTAGGTTCGTAAATGAGTCATATCCAGCAATACTGAACTCACATTCCTCTGGGTCGATTCTCCTGTTCTTGTACAACAGTTCTACAACTCCTACAATATCTGGTTGGTGTACTCTTAGTAGTGTTTCAAACTCCTCCCTCTTATCAAGGAACGTGTCGGTATTAGTGTACATGACATTCAAGCCAGAATTTGTTCTCGGTAACGTCTCTGCTCTTAGTAATAAACCCGCTCCACCCACATTCTCAGAAGCTGCAGCATTTGCTAAGTACACTGTATTTTGCAGGGTGTGGTTAAAAATTTCATTGTTTACACGGCGCTCGTTCCCTCCTGTCCGGTAGGCTGAGCTGGTGCCGCCTCCCGGGTGGGGGGTTGAGTGGGTGGAGGGTGCACTGCTGCCCCCTGGCCCTGTGTCGGCACACTTGTTTCCACTACCCTCCCCCTGAGTATAACCCATGTGCACCTGTCCCCGTTCCTTCTCGACTCCTCCCTCCTCTGCTTCAAGTCCAGCAGGAGCTTCTTGTGCTGTTCCCTCTGCATTACCGTGCGGTCTGGGTGAATAAATACATCTCGAAATGCCTCGCTCCTTGCTAAGTTTTTTGCCTGCCGGATAACTTGCCATTTTTCCTCCTCACTCCCTAATGTGATCCTGAGGGGGCGAGGCTTAGCCCCCTGCTTTTGTCCCAGTCTCCTCACATCCTGAGGGGTTGCTGGAATCTTCAGAACCTCTGTGCAAATATTTTGAAACAGCACCTTGTCGTGTGTTTCCTTACTCACAGTTCCCTCTGCCTGGCTCTCTGGGACTCCAAAAACTATTACATTGTTCCTGCGCTGGAGCCGTTCCTGGTGTTCCTCCTCTCCCCTAACAGTAGGTCCGTTAATTTTCATTTCTTCGACACACTTTTTCAGAGTCCCAATCTGCTGTAGAACCTGTACTGATTCTGCATTACTCTCCGCCCCCCCCACCCGTGGCCCTCCTAATACGTCCGCATAGCTCCTCTTAGCAACCACCTCCATTCTATTAGCTACTTCCTCAGTCTTAGCAAGGATCTCTTTCTCAACTTGCTCCAGTTTGTCAACCAGCAGGGCTCCTGCTTCATCTATTTTCGTCCCTAGAGAACTCGTTCCCTTATGGATTGCAATCGCTTCATTCACCTTGACTATGCAGCCAGGGCAATACCAGCAACAGCCATCAAGCTTTACGGCAGTTAGTAACTTCCTAGACGTTGCATTAGTTAGGCCTGCATCCTCCATATCCGACGTCTCCCTGCAGTAATCACATACCAAACTCATGGTTGTTGTTGTTGTGGGGGGGGTGTAGACTGTGTATAGATCTACACCTATTTCAAAGAAAATAAAGAGAGAAAAAAGTACTTAGCTACTCTCTGTTGCCTATGGAGTTGTCGTCTGCGACTGCGTACACTGTATCTCCCTGTGAATGGTGTATTGTAGGCACAGTTTCAGTCCTTGAGCAAGCACACAATCAACATAAAATAAAATTTAAAGTCTCTGTGGCACCTATGACACGACTTGGTTTCAGCTGGCACGGTGCCTTTCCAGCTTGCTTGCTAGTGAGCGCTCACTTTAAGTTATTTACAACTTCAGCGGTCACTGATGACACTATGAACTATCACTGTGTACACTGTATCTCCCTGTGGGTGGTGTATTATAAACACAGATTCAGTCCTTGAGAAAGCACACAAACAAAATAAAATTTAAAGTCTCTGTGGCACCTATGACACGAATAGGCTGGCAGTTGTCCTTACCAGCTCGATTGCCAATATGTATTCACTTTAAGTTATTATAGTCTCTTCTGCATTCACTGATGACAACTGACCCTTGTCTCTGTCACTCCCTGTTACTGACTGTTGTATCTGTAAATCCCTGTTACTCACCATTGTCTGTCACTCCCTGTTACTGACCCTTGTCTCTGTCACTCCCTGTTACTGACCCTTGTCTCTGTCACTCCTGGTCACAGTTCACTGGCAGCACTGAGACAGTCCTCCCCATCGATGAGATTGAATATGAAATAACAGTAAAGTGTCAATAGTTCTTCTCCACCCTGTTTATTGCTTCGTTGTCCAGGTAGATGAGTGTAGTTGTGCATTCAATAAGATTCACATTCTGCGTTCACAAATTTAGAACATATTTTAATACAGAGAACAAGTACAGAACAGTAGATTAATTCTGTTGCAGTAACAGTAACTTAGATTATGACCAGAAACATGTGTGAACAACATTCTCTTAAACGAGACAGATGTAGTGTGTGTGTGTGTGTAGAAGTTTCTTGTCACTTGTTTAGAATGTGGACATTTTATGCATTGTAGAGTAATGAAACATAAACTTACTTAAACGTGGCCTTATTATGGTTGGCATAGTGTTGTGTTGGATAACGTGAGTGTCAGTAAGCCATTTGGCAGGAAGACTTAATATGTTTGGTACTGTATAGTGTAGTGTACAGTATGTGTTAGAGAGATGTTTGATAGGATGACTTTATTGCTACCATTAAATGATAATATTTGGCATCATAATAGATATCTAATACTGAACAATATATGTAAGCCTTTAGAATTATTCTCAAGAGTATAAGCACACAATAATGAATAGAATCCTGTACAATATACTGTATGGTAAATGTTCATGAAAATTCTAAAACAGCTTTGATATGTATAAATGCTTAATGATCAGTGGATTATACTGTAGTAAGAAAACTAGAACATATTTTGATGGGTTTTCAAAATTATTCCGGAGCCATAATAAGTGATAGGTGGCGAGGATGACTTATAGTTCAGGCTGGGAATATCTCCATGATACTGTCTATGTCAATGACATTTTGTTTACATAAACAATAATTAGAAAAAGTGTCGAGGTATTTCATGACCAGAAGTGGTCAAGAAAAGAGTTATGAGAACTAATCTTGGGAAATGGGAAGATACACAGTGGTGATACACACACACAGGTAAACCTTGTTCATTTATACTAGTACTGTATATGAAGCTGTAAAGAGATAATTTCTTTCAGTTGAGTGACAGTGAGGAGAGCGTCCTGCAGCTGGACATGATGGAGGACACTCCTGCTGGGGAAACTGAAGGTCGCCTGCCAACACCGCCGCCTCCTCCAGCAGCACACACTCGCTCTATGCCTCATGTCTCCCAGGTGAGCCACAACTCCTGTTTAACATTAACCGTGATGGCACAGCACCACACTGTGTTGAGATGTACCCTGTACAACACCACACTACAGTATGTGTCGAATTGTACACTGCGCAACACCACACTGTGTTGAAGTGTATAATGCACAACACCACACTATGTGTTGAGATGTTCACTGTACAACACCACACTAAGTGTTGAGGTGTACACTGTACAACACCACACTAAGTATTGAGGTGTACACTGTACAACACCATACTAAGTATGACGATCATCCAGCTATGAAGCAATGATGTGAGTTATTAGGGATGTTACCTAGGCTAGTGAGTTTTGAGGTGACTAAAGAGACCGATACAGCACCTGCAGAGCTGCTAAAATATGTTGCACATGTAGAGGGCTACATCGATTGTGGGAGGGGCGGTGGCAGCGTCTTTCCGGCGTTGGTACTTGTCTTTCTCAGTTTGCAGTCGGGCTAACTCGAAAGTATTGACACCTTCTCGTGTGGTGCTCTTCCAAGCGTTACAATGTGGAGTAATAGTCTCCCAGGGGAGGGGGTCGATTTACCACTTTTTCAGGTTTGTCTTAAGACTAACCTTATACCTATCCAGTTGCCTGCCGGCGTTACATTTACTATTCATTAGGTGACTGTAAAGTAGCTGCTTTGGCAGTCTACTGTCGTTCATGCGGATAGTATGGCCAGTCCAGCGTAGTTGTTCATGGATAATGGTAGCCTCGATGCTCCTACAGTTGGTGTCATCAAGAATACTGGCATTTGTTCTCTTGTCTTCCTATCGAAATAGGAGGATGGAACATAGACTACATTGGTGAAAAATTTCAAGTGCCTTGAGGTGCTTCCTGTATGTGACCCATGTCTTGCTGCCATACAGCAGGGTGGGAAGGACCACTACTCGATATACATGTAACTTTGAAGATAATTTCAGCTTCCTACAGCTGAAGGACACGATTTCGGAGTTTGCCCAAGGCTTGAGATACACATCTCATCCGATGATAAATCTCTTCATCGATGTCTGCGGTGGTGGACAGGTGGGAGCCGAGATACCGAAAGTGGGCAACATTAGAGAGGGGAGTACCGTTAAGCTGGATGGATGGTGGAGGTGTGTCTGAACCAGAGGCAGGTTGTAAGAGAATCCGGTCTTACGTACATTCACCTCAAGGCCGAAGTGTGCATACGCATCTGCATAGGTGCTCAGGATCTCCTGTAGGTCACACGGCGTTCAGTGTGAGCAACCAAGACTGAGGCCGTCTGCATATTGAAGTTAAGCAGTGATGGAAGTTGCCGTGCCGACACCGTTGTTCTTGCCTGGAGTCGTCTTATGCCTTCATCCGGAACTCGATGTCCACCCCGTCGGCTAAATTGGCACTGGCATGAGTAAGGAAAGCAGCCAAGAAATGGAAAAGAGAGTTGGTGCCAGTACAGACCCTTGTTTAACCCCCGTTTGGAACGAAAGAATCCAGACTCGATGCCATTGTGCAGGACACTGCCGTTCATGCCATCGTTGCATTGCTTTGCGATGGCGATGATCTTTGGGGGGCAGCCAAAACGGCTCAGGGTCCACCAGAGGGCTTCCCTGTTGACCAAGTCGAAGGTCGTGGTTAGGTCGATGAAAAACATGTACAGGTCACGACGCTGTTTTCTGCACGCTTTCTGTATCTGGCGGACGGCAAAGATCATGTCAGTGGTGCCATGTGATGGTCTAAAACCACTTTGAGATTCTGGGAGAAATTTTTCCGCCTCAGGAAGAAGTTTTTTTTGGAGGACTCGGGCAATAATCTTGCCAGCTACGAGCAGCAGCAAGATCCCGTGGTAGTTGCCACAGTCTGACCGGTCTCCCATATTCTTATAAATATTGATGATGGAGGCGTCTTTTAGAGCTTGGGGGATTTCCTCATTTTCCCATATATTCTCCAGGAGAGAGTGGAGACGGCTGGTAAGCAGAGGTCCTCCTGCTTTATACACCTCGGCTGGGATTCAATCAGGCCCTGAGGCTTTGTTATTTTCCATCTGTTTGATGGCAGTAGCTACCTCATCCAGGGATGGAGGATAGCTGAGGTGGGTTAGCTCTGGAAGCTGAGAAACCTGCTGGGTAGTCAGGACATCCTCATCAGTGTTTCGGTTGAGCAGTGAATTGGAGTGCTCTTTCCAGCATGGAAGGAGGCCTTCATCGTCTTTAATTATGGAGTTACCATCGGATGAGCGGAGGGGGGCTGCGCCACGATTGATTGGCCCATAAAATGTTTTGTTCGAATTGAAAAATTTGCGTATCTTGTGCTGATCTTCAAATTTTTCTGTTTCATATACTTAATTTTAAACCAGTCACTCGTTAGATTGCGAAGTTCCCGCTGGGCCACAGCTTTCTTCTTGCGGAAGGTATCAGCTTTGGTCCGAGACTGAGGGTTCTTCTGCCGGTCAGTTAAAGCAGCACATTTATCATTGATGAGTACATTGATTGCCGGGTCATTTTCATCAAACCATTCCTGGTGTATTTGTTTGATCTGGTCGAGGTTTTTGTCATGACAGAGTTGAGAATATCCCATTCGGCACTGGGATTTGGGTTGTTCGTTGTTGGGTTGTTTATCAGCCCATGTTCAAGCTGCTTTCTGAAAGTATGTGCTACCGCTGGATCCTCCAGACGTTTAGTGTTAAAACCTCTTCTAGAGACTTGCTGCCTTCGCCGTTTTGGTGCGCCATGAAGTGAGAGCTTGGCTCTGACGAGCGGATGATCAGTGTCACAGTGGGCTGAGCCATGCATTGCACAGGTGATGAGGACGTCTTGACGGTCTCTTTCTCTGACAATGATGTAGTTAATGAGATGCCAGTGTTTGGATCGTGGGTGTTGCCACGAACCCTTGAACTTGTCGGCCTGCCTAAACAGAGCACAACATTATCTTCTCTGGGGATTGAGGTTAGCACTCTGTCGAGATCGGCATAAAAGGCCTCTTTGATGTCATCCTCTGCATCCAGTGTTGGGGCATATGCACTGATGAAAAAGGCATGACGTGAATGATTCAGTGGGACTCGGACCGTCATGAGGCGCTCGTTGATCCCAACAGGGTTTTCAGTTAACCTGTGTAGGATGCGTTGGCGGGTGGTAAAGCCAACTCGTTAAATGCAGTTTCTCTTTACAGCAGGCTTATCCATCCAGAAGAAGGTATAGTCTGACCCCTTTTCTGTGAGTTGACCCTCGTCTGGGAGCCAGGACTCACTAATGGCTGCTATGTAGATGTTATACCTTGCCAGATCTTTTGCCACAACGGCAGTTCTTCTTTCAGGACGCACATTTGTGCCAGTATCCAGAAGGGTCTTGACATTCCATGCAGCGACCATAAGAGGTTGCATAGTTTGTTTTTGTTTGGATCTGTGATTTTGATTGTGCTTTCGACCACAAAAGGATGAAATTACTGGGTGCACTTGCCCAGTCAGGTTTTTTTTTTTTAGGCAGGCTATGTTTAGGGCACCTTTTCTAGCCCTCTCCCCATGTGGGGTGAGCAGAGTGGCTCCTAGAAAGTGTTGAGATGTACACTGTACAACACCACACTAAGTGTTGAGATAGACACTGTAGCTCCTAAATCATTCAGTTTATACAGTATATTCCGATTAACAGAGATCTTACTTTATATATATATATATATATATATATATATATTTATTCCTATGATTATTGATACTAAAAGCAGTCCTAGACTTTGTTATATTTCACACAAAGCCTGTTAGCTTATGGCGCCGTGAACCTCTATGGGGATATATATATATATATATATATCCGCGTGCTTTATTGGGCTAATGATATATATATATATATATATATATATATATATATATATATATATATATATATATATATATATATATATATATATATATATATATATATATATATATATATATACCGTAGATATACTGTAGTTAGGTAGATAATAATTCAGTAAAATCATCATACAGTTTCACAAGAGTGGTGGACAAAAATTCATAAATATTTGATAACATCTATTTGTGGGTCATATTACTGTATATTTGATTGGTTTATATCTAATAATGTTGCTTTTCTTCACATAAATTGGAACCACTAATTGAAGAAAAAAACATTCCTTAACCCTCTCACCGCCAGGCCATGTGGTGAAATTTCCAACCAATCTGTACCTGTTGTCGAAATAGTCTGCATACATTTTCCTGATACAAAACTTTTGCTACTTTGTTAGTCAAGGACCCTTATTGGGAGATCACAGTAGACTTGTTTTCGTCTGTTCATCACCCACCAACCTCATTGTTAAGTCTGTCATGTGATCTCACTGTAGACACATTCTATGCTCACTTGCATCTTATCTCAGTCGTGGGGTTCTATTCCGAACTGTTTGTATTATTTCTGGTTGTTTGTACACCATTGCTGAACTTAAATTATTGTGTTCATTGTACTATTTTGGCACTACAATGGACAGAAACGGGTAGTAGAGTGCAGGCGTTCCCCGGGTTACGGAGAGGTTCCGTTCCTGAAAATCTCTTCGCAAAACGAAATTCCTTAACGTGAAACCATTTTTCCCATTAACTTTCATTAAATAACTTGAGATGTGTTTCTAGGGAAATTTTTTGAGGCCCAAATGTGACACAAACACATATATGTATGAAATTAGTTGGTTTTAACCACATACAATGAGTCATTCATGATGTAACATGATAATAGCAGTAAATGAAGGAAACACCCTGATTTTTACTTACCAGAATTGATGTTGAGTGCTGAGTTAGATGAGGTGGTGCAATTGTAGTTACAGGGAGGGAGACAGTGGCTCACTGCTGAATCCTGCCCATTCCTGTTGAATCATCATCTTCCTTGGCTGCCAGCTTCTCCCCCTGGTCAAACCTCCTTAACACATATAATTTTGTTTTCAATGTAATACCCTTTAGTGGTCTCTTACCGCCACTGCTAGCACTTGCACTTGATGGCCTCTTTCCGCTCATCTTGAATAAGAATACACAGTACAGTACCTGTAATACAGTCCAGAAAAGAGAGACAAAGTTGAACGTTGGCTGGTGAATCAAACAGGCGAAGTCCGAAACCATTGTTGTTGTTGTTGTTGTTGTGAGACCGCAGCTGCCTTGTACTTGCCACAGAGAATCCACACAAAATTATTTTAAAAAAGTTCTTAAAATTTTGGCTGAATTTTTTTTTTTTTTTTAATTTACCAAAATTTTCCTACCTCGAATTTTTGGACATAATTTAAAAATTCTGTAAGGGCAAACTTCCATAAACAGGGATTCCATAATGTGGGGATGCCTGCATGTTAAATTTTATTAAATATGTTTCAACTCTTAATTTTGGGGGAGATATACATAATTTTCTTCATTTTATTTTACTAATATATGTGGACACACCATCCAACATGCAGAATGCTCCCTAAAGAAAATAATTAAATAAACATTTTTGCACACCAGGAAACCAGTGCACTGATACAAAAAAAACAAATTCTTCCGAGAACATTTCTGGTCACTTCCCATGAACCTGGGAGGCTGAAACCTTTACATGAATTGCTTGAATGTTTGTATTTTACCAAGAAAATATCCAGGTGCCAACAAATAAAAAGAAATATGTTTATTTTTATAAAATATTTTTCAACTCAAAATTTCAGGGAGATGTTCACTCATTAATAGGTTATTCTGCACCTTTACTGGGTTATGCAATATGACACACCGGACCAAGAAATCTGATAACACTCATCATAACTTCTGTCACTGTGATTGTTGCAGATGGTTTCAGAGCCAAGGGTGCAGAATATTTTTTTAGTGAGTGTACATGTTATCGCCACGCATAATTGTGCGCGCCGCCACATGTTAAGTGAAGAGACTCTTTACAACTCAGATAGCCTACTAAGCGAGATGGAGCTGTCAGCAGCTTAGATGGCTGCTCTGGAGTACCCTCTAGACTTCTGCACTTCACGGGAGTTCTGACGAGCAGTGGCAAGGCGCAACGGGGCGAAGTTGAAAGAGAACAGCACCAAACAAGTTTCCAAAGGGTGAACAGAGCAATCACTGGGGGCACTTACCAAATAGACATATCACCTGATTACAAGCTACCTAGAATGAGTCAACTTAGGTCATTAATGCCGCCACCAGAATCGCAACCAGTGGAGTTAACTCATGGAAGACCGAAGCCAGCACAAGCATCATGGGGAAAAGGACTGGGAGCACACAGAACATGCTGGTGACCACGAATAGAGGAAATCTGCATAGATGGCTCAGGGAAACCATAACCGACAATGGAAGTGATGACCAGTGTGAAGAACCCAACAATTGCGAGTTGTGATTACAAGAGTCCAGCAGAGTAGCACTTTCAATAATGAAAGCCAGGATGGAGGAGAAGAACCAAGAGGCAAAGGAGCAGTGGTCACTGGAGCTCTCTTGGATTCAGGCAGCAACCAATCATACTGCATGAGTAGCCAAGCTTACTGCTGCAGGTAGAGGGAAGGCCAGTTTCCCTCTCCATTGGAATGATCATGAAAGAAAGAAATAGTGTAAACACCGAAGAGATCAGTCTAAAAGTGACTAGCGTAGGAGTAAGAAAGAGCCGATCCATCACTATCCCCAAGGTCATTGTTGTTGAGAATCTACCGTTTTCTCTGAGAGCGTCGGTCACAGACATCCAAAAAGTCACTATGTGGGAACACCTCCGAGGTACTGCACTATGCCAAGCACCAAAAAGAGTGGATCTCCTTATTGGTTTGGATGTACCACAAGCACTAGTACCGTTAGAAGTAAGGACCGGGGGACGTTTGCAACACGCACCCTTCTGGGCTGGAACGGTGAGCCGTGATTATGTCGTGAGCAACTACTTTGTCAGAATGGCAACACCGAACTCGGAGACAAGTCTGGAAAAACAAGTCAGGCACTTCTGGGAATGCGACTCCGCCTATAGTAACGATAACCCTGTCTCTATCGAAGACAAGAGAGTCCTGATGCTGTGGTCAATGTCAATTACTCAAGTGGATGGACATTACCAACTTCCCATCCCGTTTCACCATGAAGAACTGGGACTCCCAGACAATAAGAAGCTTGCCGAACAACGTTTGGCGGGATTGAGAAAATGCCTCCTGAAGAACCCAGGGCTCTCTCAGAGGTATCAAGAAGAGATGAAACGTCTAGTTGACGAGGGACATGCTGAGCAAGTCCATCATCAAGAACTCAGTGTTGCGCCCGGGAAGGCCTGGTATCTCCCACACCACCCCGTGTTGAATCTCAACAAGCCAGAAAAGATGAGAATAGTTTTTGATTGTGCAGCCGAGTATGAGTCGATGTCAGATTCAGACAAGGAAAGGTGGCACTCCTGACTTATATCGAGACAATATTCCACCAAGTACGAGTAGTACCCAAACATCAAGACGTCTTACGATTCTTATGGTGGATGGACGACCTGCTGTCAGGGACCCCCACCACTTACCGAATTACAGTACATCTCTTTGGAGGTGTGTGGAGCCCTTCACTTGCTGAGTATGCGCTACAACGAACATTCCAAGATTATGGGGAAGTCTCCTTGATGACATCAAGAAAGCGAATCGTAACTTCTAAGTTGACGATCTGCTTCTCTCAGTAGATTCGCCGAGGAAGGCAACGATAATTACCCATTGACTGAGACAGCTGAGGAAGAAAAGAAGGGCGGATTCAGACTTACGAAGTGGGTCTGTAATCACAAGGATGTCCTCAAGGCAATTCCACAGATAGAAAAAGCCGTGGGAGTAAAGGAAGTCATTTTGAAAGACGACAGGCTCCCCACTGAACGAGTGCTGGGAATCTTGTGGGACCTGGAGAAAGACAAACTCGCGGTCCGGGTCCAGATCCCTAAGAAACTGGAGACGAAACGAGGACTTCTGAGTATGAGTCCCACTCAGACTCATCGCTCCGAGTTTCATAAGAGCCAAAATCATATTGCATGATGAGGGTAGACGAGGTGCTGGGTGGGATGAACGAATGGCTGAACAGAACAAGGTGGCATGGCAAGGATAGCTAGTTGAACTTCCCCACTTATCACTGGTGCACATTCCACGGTGCTACCGACCCAAGGATGCAAATTGAGTGCGCCCAAGAGGCCGGCCGTTCACCTACACTTGAAGTGATTGCTTCGCCCCTTTTGTGGTTAAACAAAGCCGAGCCCTGGTGAAGAGATGGGGACGCTTGTTCACCTGCCTGACCACCAGAGCCATACACCTAGAAGTCCTCACCTCACTCGTCCTCACTCACCGACTCGTTCGTCAACACCCTGACAAGATTTGCCTGCTGTAGGGGATCTCCCAAGCGTATTTGGTCTAACAGGGGAACCAACGTGATTTGAGCTAGCCGAGAGTTACAAGAGGCGGTGAGCAGCTGGAACAACAGTGACAAGGTCGGGAATGCCCTCCCACAGAAACAGATAGAATGGCAGTTCAATCCCCCGACAGCCTCTCATATTGGCGGGGTGTGGGAGCAACAAATCCACACTGTAAGGAATGTCCTCCAGCGAGTGGTGGGCACCCAGGCACTGGACGATGAATGACTCAACACTTTATTCTGCGCCTTAGAAGAGATTATCAATGGAAGGCCCATCACCCCAGTGTCTGACGACCTAAAGCATCTAGAAGCACTAACGCCACTTCACATACTATGGATGAACCCGGAGACACTGCCCACCTGAGGCGATCGGTCCATGGCAGAAGTGTACCGACGAAGATGGAAGCAGGCCCAATTCATCGCGGACCAAATTTGGAAGAGGTGGGTAAAGGAATATCTCCCGACTCTACGTCAGCGACAAAAATTCTTCAAAACTTACTGCAATCTCCACGCTGGGGATATCGTGATCATCTCTGGCCAACCCCTACCCAGGAGTCAGAGGATGCTAGGGAGAGTACTGGAGGCACTACTGAGCGAAGATGGCCTGGTGCGAAGTGTTAAAGTGAAGACAAAGGACTCTGTGATAAAACGCCCAGCGACGAGACTGCCTGTTAAAAGGGGTCGGAGAGAGTGAATCTAATGGTAGGCCGTGATTTCAAGCGAAGCCCGACAGAAGTGTTATCGCCATGCACAATTTCGCGCGCCGGCCACATGTTAAGTGAAGAGACTGTTTATAACTCAGATAGCTTACTGAGGGAGATGGAGCTGGTAGCAGCTGTGTGACTGCCTGAGGGGCAGACTATCGTCTTCTACTGCAGAGGCAACATCTTGATTCTCGTCAGCCAATATCTTTCTGCAGGACATTATATTTGTTCTCGTTGGTCTAACCCTAGACCCCAAAACGTGAGTGTGATTGTGAACTGTTGAATTCTCTGAGAACTCTAAATAACTTTAATAAGAGTAATTATGTACTGTATATTGATCATATTATTCAAACTGTGTCTCCTGATGTATCAGTGATTGTAATATATGAAATGTATTCAACAGGTTTTGACCGAATTATACTCATCGCATTAACGACGAGGGTCTTATTGTGGCTGTGCAGGACAATAAGACCCTCGTCGTTAATGCGATGAGTATAATTCGGTCAAAACCTGTTGCATATTTTCTTCTTATTTTATTCAGTTACATGTGCACACCATCGTACATACAGGATGGCAAACAAATAAAAATCTTTTCATAACTTCAAAAATAAAAAGGGAATAAACATTTCTTTGCACACTTGAGCTCGCTAAGCTCAGTGAAGGATCTCAGCCGCTCTGAGTTGTCTCTGGTTGTAGGGAAGTGATGGCAAGTATTTTGTAATACAGCAGTGAGAAGGTTTAATACAAAGAAGATCTGAAAAATACATTAAAATTTAAATATCGCCTCACCTCATGATCCTTAAGTGAAGTACAGTACTTACTGTACATGTCAGATACTGCCAAGTGTCCTGGGAATTTGTCTACATCTGTACAGTACATAGACAGTGCAGGGAATTTGCCAGATCCTAAACTCTCTTCCTACCGTTTGCTATAATAAAAATATTACATTGTGCTCTTTAACAAAATGTGTTCAATATAATGTGAATAAAAAAAAGATAAGCATTGGATATAATACAAGTGAAAGCATTTTCCTAAGAACAATGTCAAGTCGACTAATAAGTGTTTGCAGATATATCTTAGTTTAGTATCATAAAGAACTGATCCGGTCATACATGGTGGTGCCAGTTACTACATAGTGCCTTATCCACCTCATTACTGTGGATTTCGTCTCACCAGTCTGGCTACCCACCTCAGCTTTGCTTAGACCCTCGCATTTTCCTTTGAGGTTTTAGCAATGACGTTCGTGCCGTCATTCCTGTGTGTGTGGTTGTGGACGAATCATATGGCCACAACTACCAGTTCAGTTAAATGATTAAAACCTCAACTAGATATTCATGTACAGGTGTCCCTTGCTTAAAAAAATTTCAGGATATGAAAAACTACTTACAGTTTACGAATTTCCTAAATTAACACCACTTTTTCATTTAACAAAAGCTTCCCCACTTATACGAGTTAGCATTGCGGTGGAAATTTAAATTGCACATCCCTTGGAGTCAGCTGGAGTGGCCATCTTAGAGAGATGGGCAGAGACGCATTTTCTTTCGGTGAACATAACAATCCCCCCCTTCCGCATTTCTCCCCAGCCTGTGTCTTCTATTCCACCATTCCTGACCCCTTGTGTGAGCCATGACTGCCCTCCCTTGGCATTGTTGTCAAGTGAGCCTCGCCACTGTAGTCACATCCCCCTAGTTGTCTTGCTACCATGCCAAGCTGTAAGCGATATTATGATTATTATTCAACTCGTAATTTTGGGTAGATAAAGTTAACTTTCTTCATATTTTTTTTACTTATTTACGTGTACACAGAATCCTACATACAGAAAGTGCCCCCCCGGAAAATAACATTAGTTCAAAAACATAAAGGAAATAAACATTTTCTACTTAGGGCAGCAAGAGTTAGCTGGCTGGATGGGAGTCTATGTTATGGTTACAGTATTTTTCAACTTGTAATTTCAGGAAGATAAGCTTAACTGTGTTCACTTTTTTATTCAGTTACATGTGTAAAAAAAACGTAAACCATAAGAACATAAGAATGGAGGAAAATGCAGTGGGCCTATTGGCCCATACTGGGCAGTCCGATTTACACCCAATCCCTATCGCTCATATATCTGTCCAACCTATGTTTGAAGCTATCCAGCGTATTCGAGTTAATGATGATGCTTGGTAACTTGTTTCACTCGTCCAATACTCTTATTTCAAACCAATGTTTATCTATCTCACACCTAAATCTAAATTTATCTAATTTAAAGCCATTGCTATGAGTTTGCTCCTGGTTGGATAGTTTGAGTACCTTTGTAATGTCC